GAATCGAGACTGTCCTGGAAAATTTTCGAGACAAATTAGTTGTTGCCAAAGCGATGGTACCGACTATTGAATCCTTAGACCTTCAAACGTTGAACCTTCTACAACGACTGTGTCATCTTTGCAAGAAGTAAATTTTGGCGGCAAAATTGTAGTTTCAGCAATTAAGCGGATATTTTAGTCGTGAAATTTTTAGTGATGATGTGTATGTGATGACTCTCTAATGCCTTTTTTGATGCCCTTGTAATCAGATCCTTTTTGCTAATATAGTCCAACTATAGTTTTATGTATAAACGAAATGAGCGAAGAAGATTAAGCGTAAATTTATATGAATTTTGAAAATTATTATAAATTTTCTGACTACATAACGGTAAACATAAGTATTTATACACAAGAAAATTTGAAAAGCTCTTAAATTAAAGTCTAACTCGGAACAAAAAGTACATAAGCATAGAAGACAAGTTGAAATTACATACTAGAATGAGCCATAACTCATAAACAACCATAATTATCCAAATTATCATCATCAAAGAATCCTAATTGTTATTGATTATGAATTGAAGACAACATTAGGGCATCGGTAACAAAATTTGCATCCAAGTCTCATCATCACTACCATTGTTACAGCTGCCACAGTATCACTAACAACATGCTTGCTAGAACTACCTCCCTTCATACCTTAATGCATGCATTTAATTTATTCGGAGAGCTATTTGAAAAACAGGAGCATGATCTGGTGAGGAAGTATTTAGGAAAGGGGAGTAAATAAGCCAATCATTAGGTTTCATTAGGATCACTAGAGTATGTTGATGAAAAATGTAACACCCTAACCTATACGTTTTGCCTAATCATATTGTTCATACAATTGCAGCGGAATTCATCTCGGGTGTTACATTAATTATCAAAATTTACTCAAATAAAATTTCGACATGAATTACTCGCGTAATGGGCTAACAGTTCTTGCAACTTATCCTGCAAAATAATTCATCACAAACATATATACTCACAACCATATGCATTGGCTTTTGTTAGCCATAGCCACACTTTCATACTCCACAACTGCATACCATACTTATACATACCATAGTCGTCACAACTTACATAGTTACACAACATATACACATATCATCAACTTTCCACACCTGTGGATATCTCACACTACATCAGAAGCTAGTATGCACATGAAAAACGTTCTCAAAACATTTTTACAAAAAGGTGTGGATCACTGGCCAAAATCCCGAGTAGTCCAAGCACAGAATAGTTGAAGACCATACCTCATCCTGACTTCAACTCTATCTCCTCTCCCACCTAACACCTATCTACTGCTGCTGCTGATGATCTACTTACACATACCATAAGCAGAGAAAAAGAATAAAAAAGGGTCAGCTCATAGCTGAGTGAGATAATCATAGCATCGTGAGTTCATAACAGAGCATACCCCTACCATACATCTAGCAAACAAGCCAAAGCACTAGGATCAGACCTCAGGCATCCGACATCCCAATAGACAAAAGACTCAACCACATTGACTTATGCATATGCATCTTATCATGTTTTACTTATAGGCGCCTGGCTACTCCCATGCTAATAACTCTCCCGGGAAACATACCCCACATCCCGTCGGATGTAGTCATACATACCCCAACATCCCGTCGGATGTGGTCATACATACCCCACACCACTATGGGTGTAGTCATACCCCGACACCGCTCTGGGTGTGGTCATATCTCATAAGAAATCTTCAGTCACCACCACAAGAGAGGTGTGACTATCATACATATCATAATAGAGTAATAGCATAGGGAGCCCTAATTACTATGTAGTTGACCGTGAGACCACAACACTCATATTTGGTATCCTTATACATGATTCATATCTCATCTTGCTTAATCATAATTCATTACTTCAACATGTACTTGACCTGACCATAATTGGCTCAACATAGGTAAACCAGGAGTCGTATAGTTGCACTTCCTCGGGATAAACCCTCGTGCAAGTCATCCTCCTTAAAACATCATAATATCACCATGGGATATATATTTTCCCACTTGTACATCCAAATACATCAATCATGAAAAATCATATCCAATCACCTTTTGGAACCATCATAAGGCATATCAACAGTCAAGCCCACAATTTGCAACATATACAAAATCATCAGCATAAACAAGGTCCATCTCAATTAGGGCAAGTCAATAATATCATACAACAATCCATGGTTCATCATATAGCATAGAAGTCCATACACCCCTAATCATGCCATTCTAATTCACCTAGGTCAATTATAAGCATCAATATAATTATCGTGATACGACAAACCCGGTATGCCGTGCTAATCCCTCACCAGTTCTGGTCGTTCAAACACCGGTTCTAGCCTCCCGTACTAAAACGTTAATTTCACCAACGAACCCCAAATTAAAATCCGAGACCGTCCTAATATCCCCTGCAGTATCCCCGTCAATATTAGTTCTAGGCTCCGGGTCAAATTCTCGATAAAAACACATCAAACCCTGGCCGGAGCTAAATTCAGCGATTAGGACCCCGACCTAAATAATTGCCGAAATTCAGGGATTATAACTAGAGGATTGATTACCTCGCTGCAGGAAGCTCATATATGAAATTTGGGCTCAATCCGGCTTCCGGATACTCCGAAACCCTAATTTGGCTTATCGGGAATTCAAGAAATTCCTGAACCAAAAACTCATTTTAAAGCTCTAAATCGATAAATCATGATGTATAGATGAATTAGGCATTACTTACGGGATTTTTGGATCACTAGGGCTCAAGAATTTGAGCTTTGAAATTTTGGGTCGAGAGCTCCGCGTGTGCTCTGTTTCTCTCGTTTTCTCTCGGTTGAGAATGGTAAATGATGATGATGAGAATTGTGGAATGAAAAAGTGACGGGATTTATATATATACGGCCCGTCCGCTTTTATGTAATATATATATATATATATATATATATATATATATATATATATATATATATATATATATATATATATATATATATATACGTATACTTATCCGATCGATCGATAATTCAATTTTCATCGAAATACTATCAAAACGCTCGATTGTAAATCGCGAACTTTCTAGCGATCGAAATATGGATTTAGCCGAAATGAGATGTTACAAAAAATTTACTTAGATTAAAGTAGTATTGGCAAGTGGTGATGAAAATTTTACTTAGATTGAAGTAGTATTGGCAAGTGGTGCCTGTTGGGATCACTGAAATTGTAGCAGGGAGAGAACTCACCATGATCAGGCTAAGAGTACTCCGGACTATTTGGGATTGAAGGATGTAAAAGCTAAATGGTTACCGTGGTAATAACCAAATCAATTAAGTCTAAATTTCATTAACCATGAAATAAAATGTTTTAAACAAACCGTTCAAATTAACATGAAAACCAAATTAACCAAACCAAAGTTTAATTGGTTTGGTTAATCGGATTAAGCAAATAACATAACATTACATGCATGAAAACAATTATCTTGCTAATGAATAAACATAACCATATGTTGTTACTATCATAAACTGTCATTGTATATAAGCAATAATAATAAGCCTAACCTTCCATGATTATCAATTTATCATCGTCATTCGAGTTAATACATCATTCATCATCTCTGCACCTAATATAGTTAGACTACAACAAATCCCTTAACATAAAAACATATCAATACCCCGAATCAGGAAGTTAAAGCTCTCCTACAAAACACTTCAACTGTTCATAGTTTGAAGTGACTATCATGGTATTGTACGTAATCCTAAAGTCTAGTAGTTGTCCAAAATGTTTTGATTTAGTAAATAGACAGACCCATTTAATTTTTGACCCATAATGTTTTGGTATGTCGTGCACATGGAAATAAAATATGGAATCACGAAAATTTAATTTGGTTGGTTCCATGGAAGTATAAATAATTTTGTATATTAGGTGTATCATTAATTGGTTAATTAGTTTCATTGGTTAGTAGTGTTGAAACCAAACCAAACCACCTAAACCAAATAAGCTAAATTGTTTAACCAAATCAAATCAAACCAATTATCCAAATTAACCGAGTACTACCGGTTAATATGGTTACCACGGTAACCAATCCGTTTGAACACCCCTAGTAAAAGCCAATGATTACATTATGTGATGTTAGAGTTGTTCGACTCAGAGTAGGGCCAAAAATTTGCTTGTTCAATTCGTCATGTTCCTGTCTCCTTCTTGACCCTGTCTGACCCTCAAGGGTTGGGACAGGCTGGGATGAGCCGAGTCAGTGGGTCGACCCTAATCAACACACTATTTTTTTTAGAAATTAAGTTTTGGTATCCAAAATTATTTTTTCTTACAATTTAGTACCTAAATTTATTTATTTTACAAATAAGTCCATAAATTTTTATGGTAAGATTACGTTTTGGTACCCAATTTTTTTTATTTTTACAAGTTAGTACCTAAACTTTTAAAACTTTACAAAGAGGTTCAATGTGGTATGAGATATTTGTTGTTGCTAAGAGTCACAGGGTCAAAAATTGACCCGTCCCTAAATTGTCCCTACCCATCCCGATCCTTACATGGTCAACAAATGACTCGTCCCTAATCTGACCCTGTAGACAAACTGAGGGATGGGACGGGTCAATAGATCTTCCGAGTCAACCTTACACCCCTAACTCAGAGCATTTGATGTGGTGTGTCTGCCTGAATTGTTGTGCCCTTTCACAACTTACACAAGATGAAAGAGTTTTTTCTTCCCAATTGTGGAATTATAAAAAACAATCACATCATAAAACTCACAAAGAAAAAAACACTTACAAAAGACAACGTTTAACATTAGAAGTTGCTTTTAATTTCTTATAGCATATAATAGGTAGGTGTTATTCTTTTGCCAAAGAAAATATGTGTACTCTTCAATAGGAACATAAAAGAATATTAGTATGCATGTCTTAATTTTGCTTTACTTAAATAGTAGTATATATAATACTACTCTCTGTATCTTCTTCTTCTTGTTCTATTCTTTTAAGCTGAGGCAATTACTGTTGTAGGTTGGAACCTGCAAACCTTGCAGAGAGGAGACATAAGCGACGCCGTCTTGTACTTATCCTCTCCTCCCAGAACCGGCATCGGCACGCCGACCTTCGCCGGGCTGACATAGTTGGGACGATAAGTCTTTCCCAAAACACCCTCCACGTTCTCCGACAAGTTGTCGAACTTGAACTGAGTCTCGAGGTGGGCGAAAACGTCGCCGTTCGGGATCTGGTAGTTGTGCACTCTATCCTCCTCTTTCCCGATGGGCCGAACCCTAATGTTCATCTCCACCAGCCCCGAAACCCTAACTTTCACGCTGTTTGTTTCGGCGGTCCTCTCTACAACAACACTTCGGCTTTCTCCCGTGGAGGTGCTCCACTCGGCGTCTCCCTCAGTTGGGAGGGAGATCTCGTCGCCGTTCCACCTGACGGTGAGGGCGTCGACGGCGTCGTCCCAGCTGGACAGCCTCTTTGCGGCGATGACGAGGTTGTTGGAGTCGAACATGAGGTTGAGGGCTTGCACCCACGTGAAGTCGCGGGTCCTTCCCTCGGGCCGGGTCCCGATGAAGTGGGCGTTGATCTGGAGGTCGGTGTCGGAGACGATGGCGAAGTTTCCTCCTTTGGCTCCGTGGAAGTAGAACATCATTCCGTCCCCGCCCACGAATCGAGGGTCGTAGCATAGGGATCCGTACCCGTCACAGTTTGGCCTCCTGACTGCATGCATGCAGCAGAACGTTACGCGCGTTACATGAGTCATCAATGGAGCTAGGTTAAAATTAGCAGGGATATAGTATCCTTGCACGATTTGAAATATGTATAAAATTGTAACGTAAAAATATAGTGGTGGAGAGAGAAGGCGAGAGCTTACACTTGCAAACAACCTCACAGTTGCGGTTGCAGTCGACGAAGCAACCCTTGCTCTTCTTGTTCTTCTTGGGCTTCTTGGAAGGGCACTCTGGTGGGCAGACGAGGATCTTGTTCTTGCACTTGGACTTGGCCTTGCACTTGTGCCTCTCCAGCCCGTTTCCTTCGCCGGGCAAGTCGTCGAAGTCCTTCTCCGCCGGGCCCTTCTTCTTCCCGTTCCCGTTCCCGTTTCCGCCGATGTTGATGTTGTTGTCGTTGTTGTTATTGTTGTTGTTGTTATTGTTGTTGCCGTTGTTGGTGTTGCCGCTGTTGTTGGTGTTGCCGTCGTTGTTGTTGCTGTTGGTGTTGTTATTGTTGTTGTTGCTGCCTTTGGGAGTACCATATTCGGCAGCAAATGCTGCCTCCATGGCCATCAGCATAGCCAACACAGAAACTACCAGCACCACAAAGGACTTGGCCATGATTTCCTGGCCAAGATAGAACTTCTTTCTAGCTTCTTTTAGGTCGTGAGCTTGTGATATGTATTGTGGTGGAAACTACAAGAGAGGAGATGATGGGATGGAGAAGGATGGAAGTTTGGAGGTGTATTTATAAGGGGATCGAGGGTTTCGTTTTTGCGTAAATGTGCATGCATGCACGCGGAGAAGCGGCAAGAATTTCAGGCGATCGATAATGTGATTCCCCTTTGCTTTGCCGTGTTAAAAGTTGATGGAAGGGCAAATGAGATAAAGGTGGAAGGTATCACTTGGATTGTCACCAAGAGCTAGCTAAGTTAAATTATATAATTTAGCGTATATATGTTATGTATACAGCTAACTATAGCTAGGTCAACGATATATTGATGAACAAGTTAGAGAGAAGATGGTATAGGAAGGTGGAGGTGGAGCAAGTTACGTTGCTTTCAGTAGAGAAAAGGTCTGAGTTCGTTATCTTCATTGCCACGATTGGGATCTTCACTAGCTAGCTGTTGGTTCTGACTTCTTTTATATTGCCGCCCAATTTGGACGATTGGTTTTGACGCTAAATCTTTAAAAGACGAACTAGTCACGGGCCCGGCCGGTTGGCCGGTTTCATTTCCGAATCACGTAAAAACTAAATAGGTAGCAATGTCGGGTTCATTTGTGAATCGTGTAAATACAAAGTCGGAGTAGCATGAGTTTGACTTGTTTTGTTAGTTTACGAAAATCTAGATCGGTAAAATTATGAAAATGTAAATTTCTTGGTAGCCTAAAAGAATCCAAATGATTAAAGTACTCAAACCATTTAAAATACGAACATCATAGTATTCTCGGACATCCTAACCGACTCATCGAAAATAATTTATGAAAAATCAACGACAAACACTTTACCAGGGAACCGAATTCTAAAATTGTTCTCAATAACCCTTATCTTTACTCATTGTCAGTGTCGTGCTCGTCCTCATCCTTCTTTTGAGGTGCTTCCATGCTTTTCATCTGTGGATTTGGTCCAACGCCATCACTATTATGACCACCAATTTCATAACATGCAATCAAATATGGTGAGTAAATGTTTAAGAACTTCACCTTGTCCCAAAATTAAATACTTATGGAATTCTTGGATTCGCGAGTAGTAAGGTCGCTCCTGAAGAGGTGAATTTAATTTTACCTGCAAATTTAGCATTCATTTGATTAAATGTCGGTTAGTCAGTGTCTTTGATCAATGAAAATAATGTAATTAAGATGTCGCCTTACCGTTGTATGGAACGATGCATAAGGAAGTAATGACCAGGATGATAGGTCGGCTGCCCACATTTTCAAGGATTGAATTTAGTTGGGCGACTATCCTACCAAAGAGAATTACATTGACGATCAATTCCCTATAGTCAAATTGTATATTAGAGTTTCGATTAAAGTTAATAAAATTCATGATATTTAAAATTAAGAATAAAAAGAGTTACATACTAATGAAGTTTTAGTTGGAGCTCTCTGCATGTGTAACCTTTTTGGTGAGTGTAGTAGATATCATTAAATCCGTATACTGAATAAGTTGGCCGAAATTTTTTGTGAAACAAATAATTGATGAAAGTAAGTTTTTGGTTGTCCACGCAACAGAATATTTGTTATTTGAGAATAGTGCTTAAGACATGAAAGAAAGTTCCTTTGGTTGGACTTCCTCTCAATCTCATCTTCTTCGATGAAGTAAAATTTGTAAACTTGTATCTCTGGAATATCGTAGCATGCTTCGGCCTCGGTATTTGATTGAAATTTGTAACTGGAAGTTATTGATTTGCCCTTTGGGAATTTGCACCAAAATATCATTACCCTTGGTTGAAAATAGGCGCATTTATAATTGTCAACGCATTGAATCACAAAGATAATTTTTGTTATTCATTGTTTACCTTTGAGTCAATGACTATCATATCGAGACGAAGAATAACATCTGTCTTGGGGTTGAGTGTCAGCCACTTCCTCGAAAAACGACATTGAGGAATCGAGTTCATCTTTTCAGTTGTGAGATCGGAAATCAGATGGGATTGCATTTTGACTATCATAAAAAAAACAGCCAAACTATCTATTATGTTTCGCAATGTAACTCTCTAAATACGTACTAAGCACAATGTTAATGTAGGAAGTGTGTAATTAAATAAGGAATCGTGAAATAGATGGGACAATATTAGTACTCTCAACATTACTAATTTCTATTAGTATATGAGGATTACATTATTATTATATATGTTATTATAGTATGTTAGGTTTGATTGTCTTAAAATAATACAAAATATTTTATAGAAATTATAGTACATAATAATGAATTCTGACAACAAACAATATTAAATATTTTATCTTAGTTATGTGTAGAGCAAGGTTGTCTAACTGACTTATACCGTTAGGTTTGATAGTCTTATAATAATACATAATACAAAATTCTGACAACAAACAATATTAAATACTTTACCTTAGCTATGTGTAGAGCAATGTTGTCTAATTCTCTTATACCTGTTTGACCCTAGAACGTACTCTAGGCCAATACAGTAGTAATAATTGGAAGTTCTGATATGGACTCTCTCGTTCGATCTTTTCATAAGGTTAGGAATCTCTGGGGAGGAGGGGTGGCCCCGTGATCTGAGCTTCGACGCCCAAGTTAGTATGCATCTAGTGATGGTGTATGAAATGTAGAGAGAGAGTATAGAGAGATAATCGTAGAGAGTGTGGGAAGGGAAGATAGGATCTAGAGGTGGCAAATGGATTGGATTGGTGGATTGGTGGATTGGATTGGTGGATCCATGGATCAAATGGATTGGATCTAATGGATTGGTGGATTCATGGATTGGTGGATTATCCATGAATCCAAATGACATCCTCAACCAAGGACCAATATGTAAAATGTAAAAAGTTTAGGTACTAAAATGGCACAATGAAAAATTTTAGGTACCAAAACGTAATTTTCCAATGATATTTTTCGTATAAAAAATTAAATTTTAGGTACCAAAATGTAAAAAATAAAAATTATAGGTACTAAACCGTAATTTGCCAATGATCCATGGATCCAATCCATGAATCCACCAATCCAATTGGATTTGGATCAAATGGATTGGATTTTAAATGGATTGGATTAGGTGGATATTTTTAATGGATTGATGGATTGGATTGGTGGATTGGATTGAAATTGCCACCTCTAATAGGATCTTCTTCTTGGAGGCCTTTGGCCTCCTTATATAGGAGGCTTGGCTTCCTTAGTGGGCTTGGGGCTGAGATGGGACGCTAAGCGGTGGGCTTGGGCCCGTAGTAGTTTGTCGTATTAGGCATATTAATCCATATCCCAACAATATCATTGTGCCGCTTTACCTAGTGATATGGTTCTACCGGGGTAAAACAAATTTATATTAGTTCATGCCGGTCAATCCTAGTTTAATAAAATATGTAGAAATGTGAAATACCATTAACATCAAATGAATTGAAGCACATATATAACATATTTGAAGACAATCTATGTACATTTAACTCTCATATTCATGGACTAAATCATAATAAATTGTTTTGTTAACTTCGTGTACTAAAAATGACGTCATTTATTTAAACGTCGTAAATTTATCATGCTGGTCATACCGGTGGTATTCATGTTGGTTTTATGGCCAGAATTGGTTGATGTACGTTGACCAAAAATATGAATTCGTACAGCAAGTTTATATAATTTCATGCCGATCTATGCTGGTTTAATAAAATATATGGTTCAGGCTAGCATACTCCCGGGCGTACGCTAATCTACCATATGCCCCGTTGAGTTTTGCTATTTAGATCATGAATTTACCAGAGATTGGGGCAAAATACTATACCCTAACCTATAATGAGTGAACCCGAGTCCCTAATTTTGTAACCCAAACCATGAGATTCGTTTAATCTTAAAATGAAAATCATTAATAATTTCGACGAATCAGAATCGTTGATTTTCATTTCAAGATTAAATGAATCTCATAATCGCCATTTGTAGTAGGCGATTCATGTCAAAACGATGTCAATCATTACTTGTGATATGATAGGCATGAAACCCCATGAATTTACAAAAAAAAGTCATAAGTATTTACTTTGATTTGAAGGGTTTAGAGTTTAGGGAATTAGGGTTAGGGTTAGGACTCACATTTTGGGATTTTGTGTTCGTGTTCAAAATTGAAGGTTTAGGGTTTAAGGTATGGATTGATTAGTTGAGATTCTCTGTTATATCATCATATTAGACTAAACCTACCAGTTAAAATTCAAAATTTGATGTCTATGGCTACTTTTAGAGTTGGGTGCATTGATGTTATATATATATGGATGATTCTATTGTACCTTGGGTAAAATCAAGGGTACGACATACCCTGAGTTAAAAAATGCTATCTAGACTTCGAATTGACTGGAGTTTTGCATCTGGTACTATTCCTAATCCTTTAAAGATTAAAATCTAGGCTTGAATTTTATAAATCTCATACACTAAGATCAATTTAATTAGAAACAAAAATCGACGATCATGATTCATCGAAATATATGCAACAAATTACATGCACAATCTTAGCGGGTAGGCTCTATGATTTAGAAAACTAAGACCTAGGGTTCACTGATCAAGGGTTACGGTATAGTACCATGCCCAAAAATTCGGTTAATTCGAGGTCTAGATAGCATTTTCTTACTCAGGATATGTCGTACCCTAGATTTTACCCAAGGTACGATAGAAGTCACTATATATATATGGGGAGTTCTATGGTACCCAGTGTGAAATCCGGGTACCGCATACCTTGAGTAAGAAAACGCTATCCAGAACTTGAATTGACTGATCTTTCGGACATGATACTATACTCTAACCCTTAAAGATCGAAATCTAGGTCTTAATTCTCTAAATCTTATACCCCATGATCGATTTAATTAGAAACAATAATCGACGGTTATGATTCGTCCAAATATAGGCAAAAAAATCAATGCACCATCTTAGGGTTTATAGTTTATGATTTAGATAATTAGGACCTAGGGTTCACTCATTAAGGGTTAGGGTATAGTATCATGCCCAAAAATCGTTCTAATTCGAGGTCTAGATAGCGTTTTCATACTCAAGGTTTGCGGTACCCCAGATTTCACCCGAGTACCGTAGAAGCCACCATATATATATAACATATTTCAAGAAAATCTATGTACATTTAAATCTCATATTCATGGAATAAATCATAAATAAAGTTTTTTATTAACTTCATTTACTAAAACAATATCATTTTTGGTCAAGGCGATTCATGTCAAAACGATGTCAATCATTACTTGTGATATGATAGGCATGAAACCCCATGAATTTACAAAAAAAAAGTCATAAGTATTTACTTTGATTTGAAGGGTTTAGAGTTTAGGGAATTAGGGTTAGGGTTAGGACTCACATTTTGGGATTTTGTGTTGGTGTTCAAAATTGAAGGTTTAGGGTTTAAGGTAATGGATTAATTAGTTGAGATTCTCTGTTATATCATCATATTAGACTAAACCTACCAGTTAAAATTCAAAATTTGATGTCTATGGCTACTTTTAGAGTTGGGTGCATTGATGTTATATATATATGGATGATTCTATTGTACCTTGGGTAAAATCAAGGGTACGACATACCCTGAGTTAAAAAATGCTATCTAGACTTCGAATTGACTGGAGTTTTGCATCTGGTACTATTCCTAATCCTTTAAAGATTAAAATCTAGGCTTGAATTTTATAAATCTCATACACTAAGATCAATTTAATTAGAAACAAAAATCGACGATCATGATTCATCGAAATATATGCAACAAATTACATGCACAATCTTAGCGGGTAGGCTCTATGGTTTAGAAAACTAAGACCTAGGGTTCACTGATCAAGGGTTACGGTATAGTACCATGCCCAAAAATTCGGTTAATTCGAGGTCTAGATAGCATTTTCTTACTCAGGATATGTCGTACCCTAGATTTTACCCAAGGTACGATAGAAGTCACTATATATATATATGGGGAGTTCTACGGTACCCAGTGTGAAATCCGGGTACCGCATAGCTTGAGTAAGAAAACGCTATCCAGAACTTGAATTGACTGATCTTTCGGACATGATACTATACTCTAACCCTTAAAGATCGAAATCTAGGTCTTAATTCTCTAAATCTTATACCCCATGATCGATTTAATTAGAAACAATAATCGACGGTTATGATTCGTCCAAATATAGGCAAAAAAATCAATGCACCATCTTAGGGTTTATAGTTTATGATTTAGATAATTAGGACCTAGGGTTCACTCATTAAGGGTTAGGGTATAGTATCATGCCCAAAAATCGTTCTAATTCGAGGTCTAAATAGCGTTTTCATACTCAAGGTTTGCGGTACCCCAGATTTCACCCGGGTACCATAGAAGCCACCATATATATATAACATATTTCAAGAAAATCTATGTACATTTAAATCTCATATTCATGGAATAAATCATAAATAAAGTTTTTTATTAACTTCATTTTCTAAAACAATATCATTTATTTAAACTCTATAAATTTATCAGCATGGTCATATTTGTGGTATTTGTGCCGGAATCGGTTGATGTACCGCGATTGCCATAATAAACTATATGTACAAAAGTGAAATACCATTAACGTCAAATGAATTGAAATAAATAAATTATTTTGTTAATTTCTTTTACTAAAACAATGTCATTTTATTTAAACACCGTAAATTTATCATGCCTGTCATACCACTGGTATTCATGTCGGTTTCATGGCTGGAATCAGTTGATATACCGCAATGACCAAAAATATGAATTCGTGTACTGATATGATCGAAAGTAATGTTCATGTACCGACAATGCTAAATCATGAAAATTTAGGGGTGAAAGTGATGTTCTTGTCTTAAAATTAGCTTAATGAGGTTTTTTTTCTTCTTTTGTTTGGAATTGGCCTTTGAAAGCTGAAACTACCGATTAGCCGCCCAATTTTTTTTAACCAACCCCATTACTTATTTGGATTGGTAGTGGTGAATTATCAAAGGCCAATATAATTATTCTGTTCCGGGTCCCAAACTTGCAATGAAAAAAGGAATGGGCCTAGCCCAGATCAGTGAATAAATGCATGACATGTTTACCAAATTCTCCTTCCGTGAACTGCGCTGGGAGCAGGAAAAGGAGGTTTAAGGGGGTTCTGGCCAAGAACCTCCATATAGTATTGTTAGGATGTAAGGATCTGGGGCCCAGATTGATGCCGACATTCAAGAAGCTAGTGTTTTAAGTTTTAGCTTACTATCGTTAATCATGTCCATAATTACAATTATGACCCATACGACCATAACTGAAGGTAATTTATTGTGTAGGGATGAGAATAAACCCATCGTGGTACCGACTGCTCCGACCAAATTAGTATTGGGGCGAGTGGGAGTAAAATCCGTCAGAAAATTGATAAGAAATTGGGTAGGTATGGTTTTAAATAGGTTTGGCAACGTGGCGGATTGGGGATGGGTAGTTAGTTCCCGTTACCCATCCGTCAAGGCAAACGGATTTCCTTGTCTTCGTCCCCGTAGTTTTAACGGGTGACGTTTGGTTTTCGTCACCGTCCCCAGATGGTTTCGGGTAAACCACGGATCACCACGAATCTTGAGAAATAATAAAAGAAAAGGAAAAAGCTAACCTAAAATTCCCGAAATTCAAACTTCAAAGTACCTTGATGTTCAAGGCACATAAATCCAAAACACAAAAGGAAGATCTGGGGTTGTAACCCTCCCACCACCCAACACCCAGATCTTCATTGTTCAAACAATGAAACAAAAGTGATGGGTTGCAGCAACCAAACAAGCTGCTACACCAAAAATCCACCACCCAAAACCCATATAACATGTTCTTCACTACATCTACTGACTAGTGTTCAAGTTCATAAGGAAGAGATTCATAAACAAAGGCAGTCAGCCCCAATAACATCATCCATAAATCGAACTAAAACCTATACTACTAGCACACGAGTTCCTTTTTATCTTTTCCTCCAAAATCAAGCAACATTCATCCTTGAAAAGCAATCAGTGCAAGAAACAGAGTAGCAAACACAGTTAGAGAAGTGAAACTCATTTTAAATTGAACAAGTTAAAAAGCCTGAAGTTTGGCTTAATACCTTGAGCCTTTCAACAAATCAGTTGTCTAGGGATATTAGATGCTTCTTCATCACAAGTCCCCCTTGAACTACAAGAATAAAAAAATACAGTTAGAGATTGAAACTATCAAACTAAGTACCAATCTAAATTATACTAATTACACAGAAGCCAAAATTGAGAACCAATTATCTTACCAGCTTCGTCTTGATCTTAAGTACTGGAATCTGCAATTGCTAGAGCTAAGAACACCCCTTCCATTGCCTCTACAGTAGCCTTCGATAATTCTGCAGATTGAAGAAAACAATGAAAAAGACAATTAACATTAAAAAACTAATATGGGAGTAATTGCAGGTTACCTTGTTGCATTTCCTCCATAATCAACTCCTGGTACGCATCATTGCCTCTATTGTATCATAGAGCAATCTACTCTGATGAGGGTCTATTAACCTCCCACAAGAGCTAAAAGCAGATTCAGAAGCCACTGATGTGATTGGTATGGCCAAGAAATCCCTTGCAGTTGCTTGCAAAGTGGGGTACATAAGGGCATTCAGTTTCCACCACATCAATATATCAAAGTCAGGAGACCTTTTAGGAATCAATTCCTCAAGAAGATAGTGATCCAGTTCAATATGGATCAGAGTTGCTTTGCTTTTTTTCCTCCGACTCACAAACAGTTCAAAATCATGATCATCATTTGTAGGAGTAGAAGAACTATCATAAGCAGTTGAAGAACCAGAATTGTTCTTCTCAGACTTGGTTTGGTAATCAAGCACCAAACCACAACTACATTGCTTAATTTTATCAGCCACCAAGTCAGTATTGGTACTGCCAAACTTAGCAGCATAATACTCAATCACATGCAACTTGTATCTAGGATCAAGAACCACTGGCACAACGAGAACCAAGTGTATATCATCCCAATACTTAGAAAATTTCTCCCACATACTCTCAGCCATAGCCGAGATAAGAGAATTGGTATCAGCACACCATTCCAACAATTTCAGTCTCAGATCACAAACCTTGGGGAAAAACAAATTAGCAGTGGGATACTTGCTTCCAGAAAACAGCTTTGTAATCTCACTGAAAATTTCCAGCTTATCAATGACCATAGCAGCAAAATCCCAGTGCATACTAGTAGGGACAGTGGTGTATTGATTATCCCACTACCTTAAATGAGAAAAAACATCTCTATACACAATGTCAGCATATAGCATATCATAGGTGGAATTCCAGCTCGTTGGACAATCAAGCACAAGTTGCTTCTCACAAGGCAACTTGTTCATAAATACTGTAATGAAAGGAACATAGGAGTTTGTCGCTAGGTATTTGACCAAATAGGATCGTCCAGTTCCTATAGAACATATCAATAAAATACCACTAGAGGGGGATAGGGCTAAGCGGAGCAAAAAGGGTTTTCCATGAGATGGGAAATGAAAACTATTCGTCCCACACGAGGTTTGTTAATAAGTGATTGTTTGATAATGAGCAAGGAATATCCGTCTTGAAAGCTAAATAGGGTGTATTGAACTAATAATTCATTAGATACTTTTTTGAATGTCAACTAAGTATCGTAAGTAAATTGCTCCCGGCTCTTCAATCATTTGATAACTAGAGTCATTCTTTGATAAATGATCACTATGAGTCAGACTCGATAGAATTTGATCTTTAAGCTGCTTGGCAGCTTCAAAGAAGGTTTGTACCCTCTTAGGAGTGGACTTCCAGTACACACCTCTATCTCTAACCAATTCAATGCCATCCTTGATGACTTCCAACCCATCTTTCACAATAAGATTCAAAACATGAGCAGAACATCTCTTTTGAACCAGCACACCATCCAACAACAAATCATCCATAGCAAGTTTAGTTTTCATATGAGTAATCATGGCATCGTTGGTGGTATAGTTATCCCAGGTAATCGAGGACAACTTCCTATCAAGATTCCAACCAAGCAAACACTTGAACAACCTATCTCCCAACCTCTTACTAGTATGAGGGGCAGGGACATAGACAAAGCTCAACATCATGTTTTTAAGTTTCCAAGAATTGTAAATAAAATGCCCAGTCACCGTCATATACCCCATCTTTTGGTTAGTTGCAGTCCACATATCAGTTGTGACTGCAATTCTACCAATATTACTATCTAAAACCTTCTGAAGCTTTGCCATTTCAGCCCCATATAAAGCAAATATGTCCCTCTTCACTGTATTTCTACAAGGGACAGTGTATTGCGGTTGCAAAGAATAACAGAAACGTTTAAACCCCAAGTGTTCAACAATGCTCAAGGGATACTCATGCACCATAATCATAGATCACAATTCCTTCCTAGACACATCAGAATTGAATTGAGTAGCATATAGGAGGGGTTTTCCAGTTGGTTTATAATCAGGACTAAGAAATCTCTGCCTACCATCATGTATCTTTCTTTGGGTGCAAGTTTTGTAATGGTTCCTCAGGTGGGAGGTTCCATTACAAGTATCGCCACCTAAACGTTTTCGACAGTATTAACACTTGGCTTTAATCTCCCCATTAAACTTCACCCTCAAAAAATGTGGCCAGACATCATAAGTCAATTTACGATCTTCATCCAAAATTATTTTAACATTTTCATTTCCATTAGTCAACGCATCATTCCCAGAACCATTAGCACTAGCAGTAGCATTACCATTACCATTACCATTACCGCTTTGATTAGAAGGCACAGTAGGATCATTCACATTCAAAGCACCATTTTCAGTAGCACCATCCATCTACATAAACAATTAAACAATTGCATGCAATCAATCAACCATAACTACCCAGACAAATCACACAACACACAATACAAATTACAATCAAGAGTTGAATTGGAGTAAGGTTATGCCTAACCTGTAATCTGGAGAGGGAGACTCTGTTCACCAGACTGCAAACGATGAGCTAATGCCTAATGCGAACCTGAAGAACTCCCAAACAAAGCCCAAACAAACAAAATAACATTAGCATGCATCGATTGATAAAGACCTGGCTCATGAATTTGGACAAACGAAGGCATAAGTTTGTGCTTACCTCGACTGTGCTCTGAGCAGAGTGCAGGTAATGGGTTTAAGGAAGAAGTTAGGCTGACCAGTGACCTGAAATTAATCGAGGGGTTACTATATATACGAGAAGAAGGAAGGAGGCAAGAAAGTGCAACAGAATACGAAAGGAAAAGGGAGAAAGAACTTATCTCGCTCGATGTGTGATATCACACAGATTTCCCCTAATAGATGCAAATCGAAGATTGCAGCTATCAATTTAAGGTTTTGCATGTTGTTTCCGAACGAAATCGTCGGCAAAACCAGCCTCCAATTGGCCAAATTGAGAGATAATGATTGCCTACTGGCAATCATAGTTGTATAACAACCTGGATTGGGAGGAAATCGTGGGGAATAGCGAGATTTTTGTGCGGATTGGATGTTTGGGAGATTCGATGCAGAGAAAATAGCTAGGATTTGGGGAGGTTCTCGAAGAGGAATGAGAGCAGTCGTTGGGGAGGTCGAGGGGAAAATGAAGATTAGGGTTTCCCCTGTGATCCGTTTGGTTTATATACGATGTCTAAAACGACGCCGTTTTATGATACGTGGCGGGGGCGGGGCAGATACCACTTATTCCGTCGCCACCCATCACCGGCAACTCGCGGGTTCCGGGTAAACCCGAATCCGAAAAAACCCACAACGGACGGATATTTAGGTCACCATCTGGGCGGGTTTCGGGTGGATACCCGACGGATCGGTCAGGGTTGCCAACCCTAGTTTTAGATTTCCCGTCCAATACCCATACCCATATATGTTTCACAAAGAATAGCTATATATAAAAAAAAATTAATGATTGGATGTTCAAAACAGTGATGCATTGTGGATTAATAGATGTTGTAGGAGAAATTCAAATAATAACGATTATACATTGGTTAACTTCATAGTTTATTAGCTTTGTTTGATGTTATAACTGAAACTTACAAGTTAGTAAGCTTAATAATTGTATTAAATTTAGGTATAATAATATTATATATATGTGACACATATTACCCGTGAGTATCCTAAAATCACATGTATGAGGATGCAGTTGCAATATCTTTCTCTGCATGGGTATGTAGTAGCTTGGGATTTTGAAAATGTGATGTTTTAGAGGAATCCGCCCCAAACCCCTATTCATTTGGTATGCAGTGTAAGTTCTGTTGGTTTGTAATGCAAGTCTTATTCATTTGTACATTAGTGGTTTTTAGTAATGCAAGTTACTTTTAATTCAAAGACTTTCATAGCTACAATGAATAAATAAGTAGACAAGGGATCTTATTTACCTTAGTCCCCCTTTTCATTGCAAAGTACCCACAAACCCCTCAATTCAAACCAATACTAACATAGGAGTACAGACACAAGCCTTCAACCAATGGAGACGCTTTTCAGAAATTCCATAACATACAAGACCAAAAAAAGAAAATATCATTGAATTGAATAAAAAACTTTCATGATGTCAATCTTCACGGTGGAACGAGCGATAATGTTTTCATATGATAATCTCTCACTAACTCAGAGGCTAATTAACAGTATATTATCACTAATTGTGCGCCCTTTAATAAAAACTTGTTGAGAAGAGGAAATTAGGGAGAGGATAACATGAGCTAACCTTGTGCAATAACCTTGAAGTCTCTTTGTAGAGTGTGTTATAACAAAATATTGGCCGGAATTCCTTCATATTCTCTGCATTTGTTACCTTAGCTATCGAAGGTAGCATTGATAACCTTTGACTAGGGGCTTTGTCTTTACTAAGACCCTTGAATACTCTCAGGATATCCTCTCTAGTCACTTCACTCTTTAACAATACACCCTCTTATGCTGAAAGTTTCTTTGTAAGCGAATTTCGATAATATATAATCAACTGGTTGATTTTGTACATATTTGTTCACTTCACCAATGAGGCTTTTATAGAAATCCACAACAACTCTCCTCTTTTGCTTAGCATCAACCACTTTATATCCTTCAGCATTCTTAAGATCAATTAGTTATCTGATGCTTATGAGTTCGAATTTTCATTGCTTTATGAAAGAAAATATTCATATAATCTTTCTAAATCCATTGAGCACGAGACTTGTAGTTATAAAAAGCCTCTTTGTCCCTCTGAACTTCCTTACACTACTGAGCTAAAACCCTTTATTATGCAATTAACTCTATTGTTGGAGTTTTCAGCACTAATTGCACTAGTGTCAGTCATTTTTCAAGATATCTTTCCTTAGCTGAGATATCTGCATAAACCTCCCTATTGAGTTTTTTCAACTTCGGTTTGATTTGTATTAGTTTACCACATAAAACATAGTGATAATATCCACTAAACTAATATCCCAAGCCTCTTACACAAACCCTCCATAAGAAGGGTGTTCGGACTTCGGACAAGAACCTGAATTACTTGAATGGCTTTGGCAAGTACCCACCTGAGGCATTACAGCCAACAGCAAGGCACAGTGACCTGATCAGACACCTAGTGCTGGTGTTTGAGTTGTACTAGCTGAGAAAGTATCAAGCTAAACTTCATTAATAAGGATCCTATCCAATCTCTTAGCTCTGAGATTCCCTTTCTGCTTATTTTACCATGTAAACCATGCCCCCATAACCTTATGATCTACCATATTCATCCCTTCATTCCATTCCTTGAAATCCATCACACTTGTAATCACACTCACCAAATTTAAAGCCTCGTTTGGTTCTCGTACAACATTCAAGTCTCTTAGTATTGCCATAGGAGAGAAATATTCTTGATGAGGGAGAAATTTCCTACACAGGTTAATTGCAACACTCAACTTCCTAATTTGGGCTATGTACAAATGATAAACCAACAGACTATCCCCTTCCATCCTAACCTTCAAATAATGCTCACTATCTGCAGTTTTTGTAACAACCAGACAGCTTTACAGAACAACCTTATTCGATCATTGTGGGAGTTTGGGTAATTTTTTAAGTGTTACAAAAGATGCTTCTAATATTGTGGAATTTGCGGTATTAAAACCCTTGACATTCCAACTAAAATCTCTCATTACCCATTCGTTTACCTCTCCTTGTACCCTTAGGGTTAGGAGGAGCAGAAGGGGGAGGAGTAAGCTTGGCAACGGGTCGGATCGGGGACAGGGAAGGGCTATCCGCCACCCGCCCGAAAGCCTGTCGGGCTTTCCCCGAATCCGCCCTACTAGCCTTCCCGGACTCATTTTCAGGCCCAACCCCAAATCCATTGGGTAGCAGGCTCCAATCGGGTTTATCGAGTATACCCGCTACCATTGTCAGCCTGGAAAAAACAAAACAAAACAAAACAAACAAAATTCAAAGGATGCAACCTGGAAATTCTTAGAGAAAAATCAAATG